CCCCCGCCCTGGTGTGGACACGTCTCTCGGTATAGCAGTGGCTCTTATGGGTTTAGTTTAAACCCCTTCCCAAGTGACCTACGGTAGTGGGAAAACAGCCCTTTTATACCGGAATAAGGGTATGTCTACACTACCACCCTAGTTCAAACTAGGGTGGTAGTGTAGACATATCCTATGTGTCCACACAGGTTGTCCCAGGTGTGACGTAGTGGGGGTACCTTGCTGGTTGCTAGGCTTGGGTTTCTTATGGGTTTAGTTTAAACCCCTTCCCAAGTGACCTACGGTAGTGGGAAAACAGCCCTTTTATACCGGAATAAGGGTATGTCTACACTACCACCCTAGTTCAAACTAGGGTGGTAGTGTAGACATATCCTATGTGTCCACACAGGTTGTCCCAGGTGTGACGTAGTGGGGGTACCTTGCTGGTTGCTAGGCTTGGGTTGTGAGTGACCTCCACTGGCTGCAGCACAGCCCAGCAGGGCAGGGGATGAGTCGTTATGCAAGGGGGCTAAGAACCTGTCTGACCAGTTATCTCCCAGGGAGCGGAACAATGGGAAGAAGGGGAGAGGAGCCCTGGGGGCAGGGCTGGAAGTGAGTGAGTTAGGTTTCTGAAGCAGCCTAGGCAACGGGCTGGGATTTAGGGGCCCAGGCTCCCCCATCTCAAGGGGAGGCTGAGGCATCCGAGGCCTGCCCTGGAACCAGATGACATCTGTGCTGTGCTGTATCCTGGAGAAGCAATAAACTCCCCTGTTCTACTGGCTGGTGGAGTCTGTCCGTGCCATTACGGGGGTGCAGGAGACGGGAAAACCCCAACGCGCCGTCACACCAGGATTCATGGTTTCATTGTCTGGTCCCTTCATACAGTTAATTTTCATCCAGAAATCCTTCACTCAGCGCAGAGACTTTAGTTAGTCAGTCTTTGTGGTGGGAACTGGAGAGACCCGGGGCCATTAGCGACCAAGCCCCTGCAACGGCAGGAAACTGATTAGGTGACGGACACCCAGATGATCCCAAAAGGTGACCACACTGCAGGCTTCTTGCAGAGCAAGGCGAAGACCCCCCAGACTCACCCTCAATCTGTCCTGGGGTGAAATTCCTTCCTGATATCCAATCTGGCCATCGGTCTGAGCAGGGCGTGGGAACTGGACGCACGTGCCTGGCCTCTAGGGGTAACGCTAGAGCTTTCCGTTCACACTCTGAGTTATATGCCTGTCTGCACTAATGTAACTACCTATCCCCCCCCCCAGATCTTCGTGATGCTGGCCATTACGTCGTTCTGCCTCGCCGTGGGTGCTGGATTCTGGGCCGTGAAGTTCCACAAGGAGCACAGCTACCTCTCCGCTTTGTACGAGACCACCAGCCCCGCCGAGCAGGCCTTCTTCGCCTTCTGGGGCTTCATGATCCTGCTGAGCATTATCATCCCGATGGCCATGTACATCACGTAAGAGCCACTGGGCGGGGCCTGTGCTGCTCCGACAGGCCACTGTGTCTTAGCCTCCAGGCTCAGCCTGCCGTGGGGGCCAGGCTGCCTCTGGGTTCTCCCCCGACTCTATCGTGATTTGGAGCACGTCTCCCCTGTTTGATTATCCTTAGAAAGAAGGAGGGTGGCAGTGACATTGGCCTCGCTCACAGACCCTCTGGCGATGCTCAGAGTCGTTAATGTTAGTACCGCGCTCTGGGAGCCGCCGATGCAAGGCGCCAGGGATGCGCGTGGGAGGGCGATGTGGTCCGGAATGGTGGCCAGGCGGCGGCGATCGAGTGACGATGAAGATAATGTCTGGTCGCTACCTGATGGGCGGTGATTCAGAGGACAGGGCCGGGAGCCGAAATATGGTTCAGACACAGCCCCGGGGATGTTCAGCACTTTCCATAACTTCATTACTGACTCTTCCCCTGCCCCAATGAAATCAATGTCCTTTCCCCCACTTTACAGAGTGGGGAAACTGAGTCCCACAGGAGGGAAGGGAGGTGCCAAGCCAGGCTGAGCATTCCTGGCTCTCATGCCTTTGCTGGTCAACATAGGAACTGGATGTGACCCTAAGGGGGTATGTCTACACTACAAAGTTAGTTCGAACTAACGGACGTTAGTTCGAACTAACTTTAATAGGCGCTACACTAGCGCTCCGCTAGTTCGAATTTGAATCGAACTAGCGGAGCGCTTAGTTCGAACTAGGTAAACCTCATTTTACGAGGACTAACGCCTAGTTCGAACTAGCTAGTTCGAACTAAGGGCTGTGTAGCCCTTTAGTTCGAACTAGTGGGAGGCTAGCCCTCCCCAGGTTTCCCTGGTGGCCACTCTGGCCAACACCAGGGAAACTCTATGCCCCCCTCCCGGCCCCGGACCCCTTAAAGGGGCACGGGCTGGCTACGGTGCCCGTGCCAGGTGCAAGCCTGCCAGCACCCAGCTAGCAGACCCTGCACCTGGCACGG